ATGTTCAGGGGGGTGTAGGTGTTTTTGTTCCTTCTGAAGTCCACAATCATCTCCTTTGTCTTCTTCACATTGATGTGAAGATTATTCTCTCTGCACCAGCTCTCCAGGTGTTCCACCTCTTGCCTGTAGCTGGACTCATCATTGTTTGTGATGCATCCCACCACCGCTGTATCATCTGCAAACTTTACAATGTGACAGCCTGGATGGGTAGCTGCACAATCATATGTGAGCAGAGCAAACAGGAGGGGGCTCAACACACATCCCTGAGGAGAGCCAGTGCTGAGGGTTATGGTGGAGGAGGAGAGGTTGTGGATCCTCACTAACTGTGGTCTGTTTGTTAAAAAGTCTAGTAACCAGTTGCAGATGGAGGGGCTTAGTCCTAGTGTGGATAGTTTGTCCATCAGGGTTTGGGGGATCATGGTGTTGAAGGCGGATGTGAAGTCCACAAAGAGCATATGGACGTAAGAGTTTTTCTGCTCCAGGTGGTTGAGCGCAGTGTGGACCACAGAGGAGATTGCATCCTCTGTTGATCGGTTCTCACGGTATGCATACTGATGAGGGTCCTCGTTGATGTTGATGGTTGTTTTGATGTGAGTCATGACCAGTTTTTCAAAGCATTTAGCGACTATCGGGGTGAGGGCCACTGGCCGATAGTCATTCAGACCAGTCACTGTAGAGCTTTTTGGGACTGGGATGATGGTGGCAGTCTTCAGGCAGGTGGGAACTGTCTCCAGGGTAAGTGAGGTGTTAAAGATGTCTGCCAGCACCTCACAGAGCTGATCAGCACATTCCTTCAACACTTTTCTGGGGATGTTGTCTGGGCCAGTTGCTTTGTGCGGATTAATCCTCCTGAAGGTACTCCTTACTTCTGCTGAGGTCACGCTGAGATGCTCTTCATCCAGTGGCGAGGTGAGTCTGGTGCTGGGTGGTCTGTTCGGGTCTTCAAAGCGTGCATAGAACTTGTTGAGGGCATCAGGCAGAGATGGGTCTTTGGGGCATTGTTCACTCCTTCCTTTATAATCTGTTATGCTCTTAATGCCCCTCCACATGCTCCGAGGGTCTTGTGAGATGAACTGACCCTCGATCCTCTTTGCATATGTGGCCTTGGCCCTCTTAATACCAGCAACCAGCTCTTTTCTTGTCCTACTCAGCTCCTCTGAGTTTCCAGACCTGAAGGCAGTGTTCCTGGCTTCCAGCAGGGTACGCACCTCTGCATTCAGCCAAGGTTTTCTGTTTGGGTAGCTTTTAACATTTCTGATAGTGGAGACGGTGTCAGTACATGTACTAATGTAACCCAGAACTGAGGATGTGTATTGGTCAAGATCAAGCGAACCTCCATTTTCAGCAGCTTCTCTGAAAACCTGCCAGTCTGTTCGATCAAAACAATCTCTCAGTATGGGTCAGTATGGCTCAGTATTGTCATTGAGGGTCAGCAAAACAAAACAATAGTCATGTGTCCTGCAGAGGGATGAAGTGGTGAGTTGTGTGTCGGGTGTCATCAGAAATGAGTCTCTTAAATGATCAGCAGGCTCTGAAGTTACATGAGCAGTGCAGTGGATGCGTTATTCTTAAATCAGAGCCTTGGCTGAATGACGTCACGCGAGCCGTTAGGCGGCAGTGTCGCAGAGCTGAACGAAGGTGGAGGAAGGACAGGCTCCAGGTGTCTTTTCAAATGTTAAGGGAGAGTTGGCGTCACTATCAGAAAACCGTTAAAGCTGCCAAATGTAAATTCTTCTCTGATTTAATTGTCTCCAACTCCCACAACCCCCGAGTTCTCTTCTCCACCCTGAACTCAGTTCTACACCTCAGTGAGCCTTCACCTCTGGAAGCCTCAACTGAGCTGTGTGAAAACTTCCTCCATTTCTTTTTAGAAAAAGTGGCAAACACCCAGGCACTCATTTCTCCACCAGCTCATGATCTGTCCATCCCATCTCAGTGTGTGGCTGTGTTTGACCACTTTGAGCCCATCTCTCTGTCCTCTCTGGAGCAGGTAATGTGCAGCATGAAACCATCTGGTTCCCCCTTTGATGTGGTCCCCCCTCGACTACTAAAGGAAGTTTTTCCTACCCTGGGTCCTTTTATCCTCGATATTCTGAATAGCAGTTTATCCTCAGGTGTGGTGCCAAAGACTTTTAAACATGCTGCTGTCCAGCCCCTCCTGAAAAAACCTAACCTTGACCCCTCAGTCATGTCCAACTTCCGGCCTGTCTCCAGACTCCCATTCACCTCTAAACTACTGGAAAAAATTGTGGAGTCTCAGTTGAAACAGTTTTTGGGGGATCACGCTATCCTAGAGTTATTCCAATCTGGCTTCAAATCTCTCCATAGCACTGAAACTGCTCTACTGAAGGTTTTTAACGACATTTTCATTTCCACAGACGCAGGTGATTCTGTGCTGTTGGTCCTATTGGACCTTACATCTGCTTTTGACACCATCGACCACAAGATCCTCATTTCTAGACTGGAGCAGTGGGTGGGCATCACAGGGTCAGCCCTTAAATGGTTTGGGTCCTACCTATCTGACAGAACCTTCTGTGTCAATATCAAAGATTCTAGTTCGGCATCGACAGCGCTCCAGTGGGGGGTACCGCAGGGGTCCATCCTCGGTCCCCTTCTCTTTTCTTTATACCTGCTGCCACTAGGTGCTATCTTCCGCAAACACGACATACCCTTTCATTTCTACGCCGATGATTGCCAAATTTACTTCCCCCTGAGGCACAGAGGCACACGCTCTATTCAGCCTCTTCTTGACTGCCTGGCTGACATCCGGGACTGGATGGCTTTAAACTTCTTAAGCTTCAATGAGAAGAAGTCTGAAGTCATGCTGTTCCATCCCAGTGGCTCACTCATGAACCATGACATTGACCTTTTCTCTCTAGCCCCGCTAGAGAAACAAAAGGTCACTAATCTGGGGGTGATAATGGACCCGTCCTTAAAACTCAACAGTCACGTAAACATGATGGTCAAATCCTGTTTTTTTCAGCTGAGACGGCTGTCTAAGCTGAAGCCTATACTCTCCAAAAAGAACCTTGAGACAGTGATCCACGCCTTCATAACATCTAGGCTTGATTACTGCAATTCACTTCTGTTTGGAATCAGTCAGTCCTCCATTGCTCGTCTACAACTGGTCCAAAATGCTGCATCCCGATTTTTAACTGGTACAGGCTATAGAGAGCACATCACGCCTGTTTTGGCCTCCCTGCACTGGCTACCCATTCACCTTCGGATCCATTTCAAAATTCTCATGTATGTTTTTAAATCACTGAACAGTTCCGCCCCATCCTATCTCACTGATCTTCTGCAGCCATATGTCCCACCGCGCTCTCTGAGGTCAGCAGACCAGATGCTTCTCTCAGTCCCAGAAACCCGTCGTAAGCTCAGAGGTGACAGGGCTTTCTCTGTTGCAGGTCCACGACTGTGGAATGAGTTGCCACTGAGTGTCCGGCAGGCTCCCACACTCTCAGTCTTTAAGTCTCGCTTGAAGACTCACTTCTATTCGCTTGCCTTTAACACGGTGTGATTTGTTTTGGCCCGGTCTGTTCTCTACTCTGTTGGCCATTTTAGTTAGCTTCTGCTGCTATTTGTATCTGTATTTCTATTTTATGTTTTCCTGTCTGCTGTGCATGTTTGTGTTCTTTTGTACAGCACTTTGGTTGGCCTTGTTGCTGTTTTAAGTGCTATATAAATAAATTGGTATGGTATGGTATGGTTATTCAGACGTTTTCAACCAACACTAGGAACATGGATAACTTCAGATACGCTAACTGGGTGTATTTGTAATTGTAGGAATAATCTCGCCTGTGTCTGACAGAAAAACAGGTGTGTGTGTGCTGATACTTGCAGTTTGGAGTCCTGGGTCCTGGTCTCCCGGCACTAGTCAGGTGGAGTAACCTCCTCTCCGGCCTCTGCCCCCTGGATGCCCAAAACCACGTCCACCGCATCGGTGTGGGCGTGGGTAAAAGTTCTGTCCATTTTGTGGCTGCTGTTGGCCTGGGCTGTGCTGCTGAGGCCTCGGGCCCTGTGGCTGGTATGGCGGGCGACCTCTGCCACGCCACTGATTCCTTTTGTGTGGGCAATCTCTGATCCAATGGTCAAGTCCTCCACACAGATAGCAAGGATGAGGTCCAGCTGGGTTGTTCTGGTGTTGATAAGGCTGGACTGGTTGCTGTTGAGGTCTTTGTGGGTGAGGTGGCTGGGCAGTGTCTGTGTTTAATGTCATCTGTGTGGCTCCTTGTAGCAGTGTGAGCTGAGCCTCTTCAGTTTGTCTCTGTTTTTTCTTCTGGGTGCAGGTTTGGTCAGCTGTGTGCTGATCCCAGGCGTGCCTGAGAAGCTCATTCAGCCGGACACCAGTTTTCCACCCAATGTAGGTGGACTGAGCAGCTTTGCGGATAGGTGGAAGAAGTCCAGTCATCAGAGATTGGCAGAAAATAATCTCAAAAGACATTGCTTGAGGGGCTTCATCTGGTCTCTGAACAGTGTCTGTGATGGTGGTGAAGCTTGGTGTCTGAGGATACGCTGCAGTGATGTGTTCTGTGATCCTTTCCACGTGCGTGAAAAACTGTTGGTTGTCCTTGTGATCTGCCTGGACGTTGACAATTCGATGTCCATCACGTACATCAAATAGTTGGGCTCCGATGGTGCTGATGAACGCAATCCCATATACAGAAGCCAGTATCATTTTGAGTTCAGCTAGTGTGGGCCGGACCACTTCTATCATATTTATCATAGCAGCAGCTACAGCAGCTCCTCCTTGTGCCAGGTCAGGCAAGTGCTGGCTCGCCATCTCGATCAGGGTCGCCTTTGGCCATGTACGGTACACCAGTTGAGGGCCAGTTGGTCCTCCAACCTCCAGCATCGGGTTGGTGAGCAGGTCTGCAGGGTCGTCCACTCCATCTGCAGCTTGGGGAAGGTCAGATAATGATGATCTGTGTTTTTTTTTTTTTTTTTTTCTTTAGGCCTTGCTGTTTAATGTTGTCAATTTCCTTTTTTATAGCTTCAGCCTTTTCTTCAAGGGCCTTCATTTTTCCCGTCTGTCTTGTGACGACTTTAGTACTGGTTCCAGTGACAGGACCTTTATTATCAACTGGGGTCTTCAGCGAGGACACTGGTGCGGTTTCATCATCTTCTTCCTCTGAATCAGATGCTGGTGCACATCCTTGAAAATCATCATCAGAGTCAAGGGCCCAAGTGGGTTTTGTTGGTGGGAGCAGCTGAGCTTGACCTTTAATGGATAGTTCTTGTGATTTTTCTTTCTTTTTCTTTGCCGTTACAGGTGGGGCATATGATGGTGTCAGTGAAACCAGCCAGAGAGGGGTACAGCTGTGCCGTGGGAGACAGAGGTCCACAGAACACCAGTTTATGAGAAGAAAAAGAGAGAGAGAGGAGAGAGACAAGTTTAATTTGTCCTTTAACGATCTAGTTTCTTTTCCTGACAGCTTCTGGAGTATTTTGTGAATTTGTCATTGTCTCGTTCTTTGGAG